AGAGATCCCCCTGCCTCTGCCTCCCGAGTGTTGGCATTAAAGGCTGTGCGCCACCAACGCCCCCCGGCTTGTATCGACAACTCTTAGGCTGGGCAGGAGCTTAGAGAGCCCTGCTCACTCCCCATGTCTCTCCTTAGACCTCATATTCATCCTTGAAATTGCGCCACCAACGCCCCCCCGGCTTGTATCGACAACTCTTAGGCTGGGCAGGAGCTTAGAGAACCCTGCTCACTCCCCATGTCTCTCCTTAGACCTCATATTCATCCTTGAAACAGCTCACCATTCGGCCGAAAACCCAATGCACGCCCCTCCGATCATTACCCAGAGTTCAGCAAGTAAGAGAGCAGAGGAGGCAACTGGTGTGGGTCAAGACTAGGGAGGAAGGGAGGAGGGCAGGTACTGTGTGGGGACAGGGGTCGGGGAGGAGATAAGACAGGTGAGGGGACCAGATGTCTCACCCATGGGTGATTGTCCTGTCTGATGCAGACCCAGTGGCTGAGTGGCCTCTCCCCTCACTCCTCCCCTGAAGAGCCTGCCATGCCTTGGGTAAGTGTCAAAAGCCTTCCTGTACTGAGGTCTGTGATGCTGTCCCGCTGGCCTGGAGGGCTGGCAGCCTTTGGTTTGAGGTAGGTGTACTGTCTAAAGAATCTGCTTGCCTCTTGCCTCTCCATCTGTCCTTCCTTCCCATGTTTAGAATATCTGTCTCTCTGTCTTCTGCTAGTCTTGGAAGAAATTTCTTGTGTGTATGAACATCTCAACAACCCGGGTCTCAAACTTTTGATTGTCCTTCCTCAGCTTCTTGAGAGCTAATGTCAGCTCTATTATAGGCCTGCGTTATCATACCTGATATTTAGAGCCACCAGGGAGCTTTGACCCTTTCCTCAAGAGGGTGCAGACAGTCTTCCCACCTTAGTCTGGCTTCTTCACCCACCCCCTTTCCTTCTATGTGGCAGGAGCAGATTGCTGTAAGGTTGTTTGACCAGGAGGGTTGTATCACACTGCAGAAGGGGTCTGGGAAACCCTCTGTGGCAAGTACTTCTGGACCTCACCCCAGCAAAACCCCCAACCACCAGGAGCTGAAGATGCAGGTGGGCCTGTAATGACAGCTCTTTGATGGCTTCTGCACCCTGAGAAGACTGGGAAGGGGGAGCTGGGAGGAAAGGTGTGGGGAGATGACAATGTAGGGAGACCTTGTGGACAGGTGACACATTGGGATACTCTCTCCCACCACAGCGCATCAGTCTTCTGCAGCAACTCCTGCAACAGGAGATAGAGGGGCTGGCAGTGGACAAATGTGCCCCTCTTAATGGAGGCTCTGCTCTAGAGATGACTAAACTTCAGCCCTTGCTGGCTGACATTTCTAAAACTCTGAGTGCTCCAGAACACAATTCTGGAACTTCCCTTCTTGGACTGTCAAAACACTCTGGTGTGACAGAGCCGTACCTTGCAGAAGAGTGTGAGGAGCCACAGCCCCACCTTGCAGAAAAGCATGGGGAACCACAGGCCTGCACTGGGAAGGAGACTAAGGTGGTTCAACCCAGCTCTACCACAGAACCACAGCCTCCAGTGCCATGCTGGATAGCTGGGCCAGAGCAACTAGACCCTTGTCTTCCAGCACTGCCTGGGCCTCTTCTGCCCAGTTCTCAAGGACAGGCTGGTTCCCTTGAGGCCTGCCCTAGGATAGAGCTGGGACCATCAGCAGCCTACTCTCTGGAAGCTAGCAATCCAGAGTCTAGCCCACAGCCCTGTTGCAGTCAGGGGCCTCCAGCAACCACCAGCTTGACCTTCTCTTCACAAAGTTCACTCTGTGCCAGGCCCCCTATCCACTCACTCCAGCCTTTGAGGTCCCCAGCAGGCCAGTCAGGTAAGGAATTGGCTGGGAGAGGGTGTGAAGAGAAAGTTCTGTTTCTTGGGAATAGGCCTTGCCTTGCACTGGGCAATGCTATGCTTTCTTTCCCTTGCCTCCCATATAAAGAGCTCTCCTCCCCTATGCTTCTAATTGGCCCTGCTCGTGGGGGAGGAGAAGGGGCAGCGCTTGGAGGGATATAACTCCAGAAGTCCTCTAAGTTCTCCACGGCCTTCAGGCCCCAGCAGTCTAGCCCCTCGAACTCTGGCACTGAGGCAGCGCCTCAGAGCCTGTCTCACCGCCATCCACTGCTTCCATGAGGCTCGCCTGGATGATGAGTGTGCCTTCTACACCAGCCGAACCCCACCTCCTGGGCCCACCCGGGTCTGCACCAACCCTGTGGCCACATTGCTTGAATGGCAGGATGCCCTGGTGAGCCTTCAGTATACAGCCAGACCATACTGCACAACAAACCCACGGTTCAGCGGTGGGTGTGGGGGGGCTAGCCTTGCTTCCTTTACCAAGAAGTAAGGAAATATGACAAGGTTTCTCTCTTCTCCAGCGGTTCATTCCAGTTGGTTCTGTGGTCCCACAGGCCTCTCCGTCATGACTGAAGCCTCCATGGGTCTTCTGCTCTGCTTCACTCACCCCTTCCTTCTTAGCCTTATTTATTGTTGCTCTGGGGGCCAACACCCTTTTTATTCTCTAATAAAGTTCCAATTGGGCAGCTACTGCTGTTGCTCTCCAGTGGCCCACATGGTGGCAGTATGCTCCAATGAGAAGGAACAAAGAGTCTTCTTCCCACTCCTGCCCAAGCCACCTTCTCAGGAAACTTGAGTGGGTTAGGGGAAATTGTGGGACCTGTTCTCTCTGAGACTGGCCCCACTCCAGGAGCCTCCAGCTATTTCCTCACCTAGAGTACCTCTGGTACCTCTTAGTTGGGCACCTGTGGCCTTAAGTACTTGGAAGCTGAGGCAGGAGGATCTCAAGAGTTGGAGGTCACCGTGGGCAAAAAGCTATGACCCATCTCAAAAAGAGAAAAAAAAAAAAAACACAAAGAAACCAATAACAATAGCGAGAAGGCCGCTAGAATTCTCTTACTGTGCAGGCACAGCAAATCCAACTTTAGAATCTTCTATACTCTACCTGCAAGGACAGCACCCCTAAAAGGGGGGGGGGGCTTCTCTCCACTCATCCTTCCCACATCAAAGCAGGAGAGGCAGGCCTGGCCGGGCTTAACTGCACAGATCTATCTCCTAGTTGAGGTTGACAAGCAAGGTGGGAATCCTTTCAGGGCACCAGGTAAAGGGCACTCTCCCACTCTGCACCAAGGCAGGTAGCCACACACAATCCCCAGCCTCACTTTATTGGATGAATTAACAGTATCCGTAGCTCCAGGACCTAGCCCAGAGAGGAGCGGAATGGGGACTGTACAAAATGGGCTTTAAATACTAGGAAGGAAGTCATTGGTTCCTCCAGTTCACGGGTGGCTGTCTGTCTCTGCTGGAGCCTAGAAAATGGAGATGCAGAGGGGAGGGGGAAGGAAGTGGCTACCGAGGTCCCTATCTAACCGTGCCAGAGTCTCCTCTCACCCAGACAGGCTCCTGTGTCATTCCCTTCCCTCCCAAGCTTCCATGGCGTACCTTTCCCCCTGCGAGTCCATCAGTGAAACTTGCAGTTCCAGGCAGAAGGGAAGGCCACGACCTCTGTCCCTCCGTGGCCTGGTTTCGTTGGAGCTCAAGTGAGGTGGTCCCTCCCTAAGTGGCTCTTTCCATCCCATCTTCCCACCTCTCGACTGCCCCAGCCACTTAAAACCCTTGAGCCCCAAGAATCCGCCGGCTTAGGTAGCCTGGGGCGTAGGGGAGAGTTGGCAAGCCCTCAGAGGATGGGAGCTTGGGTAGGGCTAGCTGGAGACGGGTGTGGATTGGAGCCAGGGGGCAAAGGGGCGGGCAAATGCGAGTGTGTGGAAGAGTGATGGGCTCAGTCCGGGTAGATGATGAAGCCTGAGAAGGTGCTGTACTTGTTGGTGTTGCCGCCATGCACCTTCCCGCCGTCCAGCTTGATGAAGACCTCGTCACCCACATCTAGGTGTAGAATGACGCTGTTGCTGGCATAGTCATAGTTCTGATCCGCATCCTGAGCAATGGCGCTGGCCCGGACCTAGTTAGTGAAAGAAGACGAAAGAAACAGACCCACATCCTATGCCTTGCAGAGCAGGATTAACTGAGGGGGTTGAGTCCAGTGGTTGCTGGAGCAAATTCTGCTTAGGTATGGGGGGAGGGGGAACCAAACCGCGTTTTTCAACCTACGGGTCACAACCCCTTTGGGTCGAACCACCCTTTAACACGAATTTCATACTAGATATTTACATCACAGTTCATAACAGTAGCAAGATTACAGTTATGAAGTAGCAACAAAATAATGTTATGGTTGGGGGTCACCACAATATAAGGAACTGTATTAAAGGGTCACAGAATTAGAAGGATTGAGAACCACTAACCTAGGAGACTGCAGAGCTTCTCAGGCATGACTTGGGCACACATGTACCTTTCTCTGGGCCTCTATTAGAGCATAAGGGATAAGAATAATGAAACCTACCTCATGAGGTGGTTAAGATTAAATGAGTAATTACTTCTGGAGTGAGTTCAGAACCATATATTGTGTATACAGATATGTTACATAGAGTTGTTATTCTCATGCTAAAAAAAAAAAAAAGCTTTCAGGATACTTCTAGGAGTCCATGCTGGATTGGAATTCCTAAACTAGATTTTCTGTGGGATGGGGAATATGTGTGTCTGCACCTGTCTTCCTGCTTATACTGGAAGGAAAGTAAATTGTTTCTCTCTGGCCTCCTGGGCCCAAATTTCCCTGTTGAGTGTTCACCTGGTCCCCCACCTTGTGGAGGGCTGCCTTTGGTTGGGATCTCTGGTCTGCTGCAGTCATACCGCCAGCCCCTTCCCCCAGTTTCCATCCCACCAGGACTGGTTATTAAATCATTAATTATTCATCATTATTCTAATCATTATTTACCATTCCCAGGGCCGCAGTGTTGGCTCCGTGGAATACAGAGTGGAAACTGCACCACCCCACCCCCTCCAAAACCAACACACTCCAACATCCTCCCAGATTCCTGGCACAGACCACATCTACCTTCCCTGTGCCACCAGAAGAAAGACACCAAGCTTTACTACACTTTGGCATTCCACAGCCACAGACACACTTGGATCTTGTGGACACTCACTATCGACCCCATGAAGATGCGCATAGCCTAACAACTCCCTTTCTTCAGGCTCTGGAGGGAGGGCTTGCTAGGATCAGACCCCAAAGAAGAAGCAGAAGGTTGGCTAGGATGGTGACCTCTTGGGATCCAGGAGCTTTTCATCCATATAGCAGTGCTCAAGGCTTAAGGAGCCCCAAGGAATAGGCCTGATGCACCAGGGCCCCACCCCCTCCATGGAACATTCAGAGGTCACTGTTCGGCTCAAAGCTTCCTCTTCCTGCACAGTATAGGAAGCTCCCTCCACCCCAACCTATGGTATCTTGCTAGTTCAAATGTGTGAGTCTCTTGGAGAGCTAGTCCCTCGGAACCTAGGTGGCAATGATTTTGAGTACCCACTGGAGTAGCACATAGTTGAATCTGAGAGGCTCCCAGGGAGGATGTACGGCCTGTAGTCCAGGCCTCCTTTCTTCTTGTCCATTGCTTCCCAGATTTTCCAAACCCAAATCCAATTGGTTCATCCTACCACCTATGTGGCTCCTAAACCGGCAGACCATTTTCCACATCTGCCTTCAGAGTCAGTGTTAGCTGAGAGAAAGACTTGGTCTAGGTTTGGCCCCAGGCCCAGGGGATGAACAAATAATAGGACAGCTACCTAGCAAATAGGCAAAATAGTGTTTTCTTCCTCTTTTCACCTTTTCTTTGAAAATCCAAGCTGAATGACTCCACTTGAGGAAAGACAGTCACTACCCAAAACAAGATTCCATTCTAATTCCTTGAAACCATGTTCCCTAATAGCTTGTTCCGTGCCAAGGCTGGAAAACACATTGACAGAGAAAACTGGCCCAGTAAAGATGGTAGGCAGCTCAAGATGGGGGGAGAGAAGAGGCTGAGGGGTAGGGCAAGCGCCAAAGACAGAGGATGTGACAGGCTATGGTGAGAGGTTGGAGAGTGAGGTTGAGACTGCAGAGACAAGCTTTGAATCCTGAGTTCTAGCCCCTATGTCACTCTAAGGCTCCATGAGATTTTGGACAGGTGACTTTCCTTTCCAGGCCCCCAATTCCTCCTCTTTGGTTAAATTAAGTGACATAAATCTTTGGTGGCCTGGCATTCTTGAATACCCTAGCAGTATTTCAGGGGACGAGCTGGGTTGTGACTGAGTACAGGTAATTTTAGAAAGTCACTAGTAAGATCTGGGGCTAAGTAAAGGGGCAATCTCACCTGTCCGTTCTTCATCAAATCAGCCCACATGCTGGTGCCGTCGCCACCGCGCATGAGCACATGGTAAGCGAAGAAGTAGACGCCTGGCATGGGACAGGTGAACTTGCCGCTGGCTGCCTCGTAAGCGTTGCCCACGTTGGTCACCACGTCGTCAAAGCGCAACACTTCATAACCTTCGTGAGGCCGCCGAAGACCCGCGTAGAAAGCAATTCGGGGCACATAGCCTGCAGGGGGCACAGCCCCTCCAGGGCCTGGCCCAGGAGGACCTGGGGGACCTGGCCTGCCTGGCTCTCCAGGGGGCCCTCTGGGACCTGGGGGTCCTGGGGGTCCCCGCAGGCCTGCCTTCCCTCGCCGACCCACCTCTCCCTTGGCACCAGGAGGGAAGGGAGGCACCGAGGTGGGAGCGCCGTCGGTGCCTTGGCCTCGGGGAGCGTGGGGGTCACACACCATGCGACATCGACCCAGCATCTCATAGTGTGTTGGTCCGCGAGAGCTGTGCACCAGTAGCGGGATGGCTACCAGCAGCAGCAGCACCATGGCCACCCCGACGGCCGCGCCCGCCACCCGCTTGCGGCGGCTCAGCCGTGACGCGGCCAGGGCCAGCAAATCCTCCTCACTTTTGGGCGCAATGGCGGCGGAGGCCCGGGGCTCTCCGCGGGCTCGGGCCCCCGTCCGGATCTCCCGACGGCTGTGCCCGACCACCTTGCCCCGGCGGATTCTTCCTGTCACAGCGGAGCTGTTCCCCAAACCGCCGGTCAGGGTGGAGGTCTCCCCCGTGGGCCGGGCCAAGGACAGCCCTGCAGGGTAGTTCAGAAGTACTCTCGGGTGCAGATCTCACGGTCCAGGGCGCCTGAGATCCACAGCTTCTTGGACGGCTGGTTTCCCACAGGTCTATGATGCCTGCTCTCCAGACAGTTGCTTTCTCGCGGATGGCAGTGTCTGGGTCCCGGGCGCCCCTCGCTGATTTCTCCAAGCTAGACCGGGGGACCTCTCCCCGCTCTCCCGACGTCCCAGGCTGTGAGCTGCGGGGGCGTGGGGGGGTCTCCCTGGACGCGACCTCGTCTCTTTTGCACTTCAGCTCTTGAAAAGCACTGCCTGCCTCCTTCAGCAGCCGTGGCCTCAGCCCTATTCAGCGCCCTAGCCAGGCGTCCCTCTCCCGCAAGCTCTCTCCCTCTCTGCGTCCCTAACCTTCCTCCCTGGCAGCAGTGCGGGTGGTGTGAGTCGCGGCGCGGCAGGAGTCACTATAAGCGGCCGCAGACGGAGCGACCCCTGGCGCCCAGAGCGGGAAACGCGGGGGCGGGGCAGGGCGGGCCACCTCACCCACCCGGCCTCCAGATTCCTTGACTGCTCCTACGGCCTTACAGCAATTCTCATTCCCCACCAAATCCTCACTTTCCACCCTGTACCTGGAGTTTGGCATTCTCAGACCTTAGGGGAAGATGGACACAGTAATGGGGTAAACAGGGATCAGGCTACAACAAACATATAAGACCCAACAAGGGGACTGCGGAGCTAAACAAGGCGATGTGGGGTGGGGGGCGACTAACATATAACAAACAGAAAACAGAAATAAAATGCCATTTGCCACCACACGTCCCTCGGTGCCTCCAACCAAATAAAGGGTTCAGTCGTTACTTGTTGACCAGGCAATTCTCTTGCCGCCCTGAGCCTGGCCTCTATGATTGGGGAGCGGGGGTCTCAGAGCAGCATCAGAAGAAGGAAGAGGAGGAGGAGGAAGAGACAGAGACAGACAGAGAGGGAAGGGGAGAAGGAGACTAGAGAATGAGCAGGAAACATCTGAGAAATCAGAGACAGAAACAGAGATGGGGAGACAAAGCTTCTAAAAGAGACTGACAGCCCCAGAACGGGAGAGGGAGAGACAGAGACACAGAGAGGGAGAAGGGAGCCTAGACAGGTTGACAGATCGAGAGAGAAATGTAAATGGCGCGCTGCAGAGAGACACCCAGGTCCGTGTTCGGACTCCAATGTGACATATCAACTGTGAGGAAGACGCGGGGGCGGGGCAGTTCTGCAAGCAGAGTGGCTGTGGGTCTGTGTGTTTTGACAGTGCTGGATACTATGTGTGTGGTGGGGTGGCCATAAGACCCTGGCCTTGCTGTCCCTGGGTGAGTAGGACTGTGAATTGTGGGGTGTCTTTGTGTACACATGTGTGAGGCTGCTTGAAGAGGGTTATGTCTCTCTGTCTTAGTCCTAAGACCTGAGACCTGCAGGAGTCAGTTCTCCTGTCTCAGGACTGACGCCCATAAAATCCCCTGGTGAGAAAGAGCCAGACGGGTCATCTCATTTGCCCTGCCCAGACTGGCACCACCCGAGTCTTGCCCTAACACCAGCCTTCATCAGCGTCATTCCCCAGTTGTTTGTTATTAGAGACAATCTGGAGAAATTAAGCCCTAAATACCGGGTGTTTTTTGATTATGCATGATAACAAATTCAAATTTGGATTAGGTATTAGCCATCCCCACCTATAACGGTGACACTGTCTGCTTTCAGAGTGACCAAGAAGGAACACTGGCTTTCATCAGAGTGCAGAGGGAAAGCCAGTAGCTGTGTCTTCTCTAGGAATGGGAGCTCAGAGGCTGGCACAGTGGGGCATAGGACTGAAGGGTGCAGGAGGGGTGTTTGGAGACCTAGCAGTAGAAGCCTCTTGGAGAGTAGGGTAAATGCCAAGAGTGTGCTGTGTAGAATGTGTTGTGTAAAACAGAGAGCACAAGGCACACCAGGGCACAGTTGTCAGTAGAAGATAATTTCTTCCTCTCTCGACTGATTCCTGTGCTCCTTCCCTGGACCACCTGCCACACCTTTCTCTGTCAGGAGAAAGAAGTGTTTGGAGCTGGAGCTGGGCTGGGCCTTTGCTGGGAGTGGGGCGAGGTCCCAACCTGCCCTAAAGGATTCGGAGAGAAAGGATTGGCAGCCAGTGGGGGAAGGGCTCCTCCTCCAACCATAAATACAAATTTTATTCAAGGTCTTTGTCACCATTTGTCTTCCTCGGGGGGCTGAGGGCCATGTCGGCCCTGTGCATGTCTAATTCTAGATCTGCTCCCCCAGGCTGCATGATGGATGGATCAGGGAAAGCAGGTCTCAGTTCACACCAGCCTTCTGGATCAAAGAAAGCAGGTCTCTGTTCACACCAGTGTCCCCCCCACCCAAGAGAGAGCCTCAGGCCTCATCCACCCCCAAGTCCATATGCCCTTCCTGTTTTCTCCCTACATTCTTCTCCCTCCATTCAGCAGAGGCCCTCTCTGGCCAGCTCTTCTACCGGACTAATCCTAGTTCCCATTACCCCTTTTTGATCCCCTCACCTTAGCCCCTTTCAGATGCCAGGTTTCTTCTCTGGAGCATCCCCGTCTGCGTCTGCTCCTATCCCCAGCCCAAGCTGTGAGCAGCAGTGATCAGCCAGGTTGCAGGAGGCATCGGCTGTGTTTGGTGTGTGTAGGGGGTGGGGTGGGGGAGCAGGCTTGGCTCACAGGGAGCCAAGGGGCCAGCTCTATGAATTTATTCATGTTCTGTTGCTCTTTCCCCACGCTCTGGAATGAAGCTGCCAGCTCACCGGGTCCTCATAGCTCTCCCTGCAGCTGTCACATTCATCCTAGGAGGGACCTAGTTAGGGCTAAGACCAGTAGGTCTTTGTGGGGCCAAAAATCTATGAGAGAATGCAGGGGAGTGGGGAGAGGTCAAGGACATTTTAGCCAGCACCTCTCTGGTGATTGAACTAGCAGGTCCCAGTGAAGTGGTGAGCCTAAGAATGGGAGGTAGGCAGCCAGGGGTGCAGCAAGACAACAAAATCCTGGTGCCATGTGGGGTTGGTGGAGAGAAGGTGAGGATGACTTCAGCAATCTCCTAATCAAAGCATAGCCTAGTCTGACTCTGCACTTCCACTGTTTCTAACCCCAAGTTACACACTTAACTTCTCTCCAATCATTTCACGATTGGAGAGAATTCCACAGCAAGACCCCAAAGGGAATCCTTACTTTCCTAGAACCCAGGGGTTTCCCCGGAATTTTCCCTAAGGCTAGCCAGGTGTGTGTCAGAGCTCTAAGGACCAGATTTTAGATTAGCATGCGATTAGCATATGATTTGCATGTGTTATGTGCCTTCTACTCTGCAGAAGTTTTCATGTTAAATTTTTATGAAGTCTAGCAGAAAGGTCCTGGCTCCTTGAAGGTTCTTGCTTTTTGTTCTTTCTCTCATACTTATTGTCACTGACCCAGAAGCCCTCTAGGGAAGAAAAAAGGTGAGGAGGTCAGCAATAGAGAGGGTGGGAAGACTGGCAGTGTGGCTCAGTTTCCTCATCTGGAGAGAGAGAGAGAGAGAGAGAGAGAGAGAGCACCTGGCTGGTGTCCTGTTAAAATGGAATAATCACCTTCTTTCTCCTCTTCAGGGCCTGTAGAAGTGATATTCTCCCTAATCTTTCATGCTCTGGCTTTCCATTACACTTTGGAGGACATGCAAGCTAGAAGCAGCTTGGGTTGTCTGTTTCCACCTTAGAGTATAGGGCACAGCATAGGACTGGAGATAACATTAGTAAGTGCTTGTTTAACTTTAGGGTTTTTAACATGCAAGTTCTCATTGCATCCTTTCGGTATACCTAGGAGATGGGCACATCATTCCCTATCGGTAAAAGATGAGACAACTGGGCTCCAGAACTGGGAGGTGATCCTTCCAGTTACCACCCTGAAAGGAGATTATTCCTACAATGGGAGGGGGTGTTCTTAGAATGGGAGTTTTGATGTTTCAGATTGCTTCCCAGTGCTTGGGAGACAGTGGTACCATAGGCAAAGCAAGGGTAAGAGAACAACAGTAGGCAGCAAGAGTTTTATAGGATCCAACAATCTCCATGTTTACTTCAACCGGGCAGTCTTAACTCCTCGCTTTCCCAACCTCTGTCCCAGCTGTCAATTCTGACACCCATCAAGGTTCAAATATTGGCCAACAGAAGGCCAAAGTTAGTTATCAAGAATGGTTCCGAGAGACAGAAGAGGGCACAGAAAAAGGAGGGGTTGCACACGCCTTTAATCCCAGCACTCCTGAGGCAGAGGCAGGTGGATCTCTGTGAGTTCACCCAGCCTGGTCTCCAGAGCGAGTGCCAGGATAGGCTCCAAAGCTACACAGAGAAACCCTGTCTCGAAAAAACAGGAAAAAAAAAGAGAAAAAGAAAAAATAAGCTGGGGGAATTTTGCTTCCTGCACCAAAGGGAAAACTGAAACTCCCTCTGTGACCAACATGCAAAAGCTTCATTCACCTAAACACATCCAGTTTGCCTTCTTTTGAAGATGATGTGCCAGCATCGAAGGTTCAGAGGGTCCCTGCTACCTCCAGGCCATTGTTTCCACTCCTCAGTTAGTCAGCCCCCTTGGCTTAGGGCCACAAACAGCCTTGTTCAAAGCCCCGCAGGCCTGAGAGCAAAGCAAGCTCTAGGCTCCCCTTAGCCCCCAATTGAGTAGAGTGTTTCCAAAATGTTTATAAGGTCCGAGTGCCGGTTTCCTGCCACAGCCCTGCACATCTATCCAGATGAGGCT